TCCCTGATAGAGTAGGCTGGATGATATCACAGACAGAGATACTTTTTACTTTTTGATTAAACTTCATTTAAAGCTCTTGTGTGGAGTTTAATGTGGTTATGAAACAGGCTGGACTTAATAGTGGGGCCTCTCAGATCATGAAAAAAAATGGACTATTTCTGTATAGTTAACTATAGTTAATCAACTTTTATTTTTGAATTCACCGTATATGTCATCAGAGTTGTCTCACCTTCATTCACCCGGAGCGCAGATGACCAGACATTACTTTTTTTTGTTGTAAAAATACAAAATAGCGCTTAAAAGACTGAGACAAGTGCAGAACATATATATATATATATAATATTTACGATCTATAGGGGGGCACAACTGATTTACATGAGCTATCTGACAATGTGAAGAAATGGTATGGGTCCTGTACACATATAAAACTGCAGTGACACCTGTGCGTAATGACAAATGGTGCATGTTTTGGCACTGAAGGACTGAATGCAGAAGCAACTTGGTGTCACTCTGTTTTTTTCTATAGTTTGTGACCACCTCCCTTTTAGCAAACAAACAATATACATGAAGTAACCTCCATTCCATTCACAAATACTACGATTTCAGTGTTAGAAAGTTTATTTTCTTTAACTTCCTTCAAGCTGTTGATCTGCCGGTTCACTTGTATCTCTTCGTATTCATGAGGTGCTTTGCGTTACCCATTTATGGTTGAACGTCGTCATGCAGAGGGTGGAATTTGAGGTTGATCCATGTGCACACATTTCAAGGTGGATCAGGATTCATAAAAATATCACTGCGTGCAGCTGTGTGTACACGTGGTTTTATAAATCTGAATAATGTTTGGCAACGCTTTTTTCAGGTTTTTGTGCTATGTACCCTTTTAGTATGGATTCTATGCACTGATTATAATTACATGAGACCCCAAGACAGGATCAGTAAAGGGATAAGTTGAACAGCTTTGTCTACAGGGGGCGCCAGAATCAACGCAAAATAAAAGTTCCTGACTGTAGATTTAATCAGAAAGTCCCTTGAAATTGAAATGTGTTTTTGGTAGGAAAACATGGAATAGAGACTACAAATAAACAAGGAGAAGACAGTTACATGGACTTTTAACATGGCCTTATATAGCTGTTGGGAAGTTGGAGTTCAAAAGGGGAAATCTAATTGTAAAGAAGAAATCAGGAAGCGTTGTTAACGAAATGACAGATATTTTGTGTATTTATGCACATATTCTTGTGTGTGAGTAAATATGTAACAGTGTGTTTTCCCAATTTGAGCTGACAATCTAGCAGAATGACAAATGTGTGGCAGCCTCTGACAGTAAGACGTTTGCATCACTGCAGGAAAACAGCAAATTGCCAACATAAATAAGGTGCCACGCTCTGATTAGGTCTGTCTTCACACATCATTATGGCCTAATGAGAGAGTTTCCTCTCTATCTCAGTCTCACCATAACCAGAGTCACTTTTGCCTCTACGGACTTAGCATTTTAGTAACCCATCTCTGTGTGACACCTGTCATCCATGATGGATGAATGTGAGCGAGGTGTCGCCCGGGTAACAGGCAGGCCAGGGGCGGGCCAGGTAACCGGTGGTGGCCCTGCCTTTATATGTGAAGGCTTTATTTAGGCCGAACTGTTTATCACTGGCCTGTCTGGCCTGGTTGCCCTGTGTGAACTGCGACGCTGCTCTGCTCAGGACCGCTTTAACACCCCGAGGGGGGGAGGGGTGCGTGTTGAGGGCCAGGCAATAATACCCTCTCATTGGGCCAAGGCAGAGTTTCATCGCCTTGGCTGCTTGCTTGAGTGACAAGAGCGAATGAATTTGCTGCATCAGTGTCTGACTTTGGAGGACACACGTCTCTGTAACTCTTTTTTCCTGCTGTCTGCAGTGACAGCGCTTGAATACATTATGGACATGCTGCTTGTGAATACCTCCATAAAAACTGTCTCATTGTTCTGTTGTTCTCATTTACACCCTTATTGTGTGCATGTATGTGTGTGAGAATTTACACCTATGTATTTCTTTCACTATTTGTATGCTCTTCATAATTACATGCTAGAGAACTGCACTTTCTATGAGCTGATTTTTTTGTGCATGTGTGTGTAATTATGGTTTAATTGCTTGCCCTGTGATGTGCTGTCATCTGTCACAGCCCAAAGACAGCAAATAATGGTTTGTGCTGCCGTCACTTTGTTACCCAGACGCTCAGCATGCAGAGAGCAGCAGAAACACCAGTAACTGATATGCGTCTTGAATTACTGATAAGCGCTTGAGTATGATGAGCTTTGTGTATGTGGGTGTGCTTGTGCTCTCAAAACGATCTCTGCTGGCCTTTTCAATCTTGCTCTATTGTGATTGTCAGGGTTTGTGTGCTTAAGTGTGTGTGAGTGAGCGTAACAGCCTGTGAATATTTCTGCATGAGTAGTTTTGTGCTTAAGAACTCATTGTCTAATTCTGTGGGCGTATAGCGTGAGAGCACAAGCTTACGTTGTGTGTTTGAAAATGTGTTTGATGCCCACTGTATATCGGCGCTGACAGGTGCAACAGTTGTGTTATGCTTTAAGCTGCTTGTTTGTCTGGCACGCTGCTTTGTGTGGTTGAGAAATGAAGTAAACAGAGGGAGAGGAAAGCAGCCTGGGGGCTAATTTATTCGCTCCCCAGTCACCCTAGTCACTGAGGCCTGTTGCACCGGCCCACCTGTCAATCCTGAGGAGCAAGCCATAGCATCATCCTACTGCGCACAGCCACTGCACAGAACTCTCTCAGTGGGCCAAGCGCTTAAGGCTAGAGCAGTATTAACTATGATATATCAATAAACTCTCTGTAATCAGAATTAACAAGACCGCAAGTTTATGAAGCGGGGGAAGAAAAACGTCTGCAGCTCTCTGCTAGCGATATAAATGCATACAAACCTGTTGGGCTAGAGCAGTTATAACAATTATACCAGTTTTCTCTCAGTAATGAGGAAGCATGACAGCAAAACATTAACGGTAAGTTACAGTTTTATCTGTAAGTTTGAAGCTTCAAGTAAAATATTGGACAGGCATTTCTGTTTGTAAGCACCTTTCACTAAAGTAATGCAAAACACAGCAGTAGTGAAATGTATAAACACTTTCAAGCCTCATAGATAAATGTGCCATATTGCATCACAACCGCCTAATCCCTGAAAAGAGCACAAAGTCGACTTTATGGCATAAATTCTTTCAAAACTGCACAGCAGAAATGTGCGAGCTTGTGGTTGTGGCTGACTGTAGTAATGTGATGTTCAATGCACTGTGGGAGTGGGAGGAAGTGTCTGTCTGTTGCCAGCGTGGAGTAATGGATGGCAGAGCTATGGGAGTGGGAGGAGGCATACATCCTATTTCAGACAGCTGTAATGGATGAGAGTACAGCAAAAAAAAAGAACGGGAGGAAGTCTGCGTGCCGGCGCTATCTCAAACTCTCACACAGAGTTCAGTGGTATTGAAATAAGTTCACAATTGATGTTAGCGGAACAATGGAACACCTGGAGGCGCATCTGAATTGGTCATAGGATGTCTTTATGTGTGACTTTTTTATTTTTTTTTGCACACACACACAGCCACATGCACCTATTATATTTGTGCCTCTGTGTGTGATGTGTTTGTTTGTTTTTTAAGCTGTATAATGTGTCTCTCACCATGTGCCCAGTCTGTGTAGCTGTGCGGTGGGACTCCGGTATAATTAATCAGCCGTTTTGATGTGTGCAAATGAGTGTTTATACAGACTGACTTCCTCTGCAGGCCCCTGCTCTTTTTAACTAGGTTTTAGGTAAGCAAGACAAACATATAACACAACTTCAAGGCACCTATTTATCACATGGTCCTCCAAGAAAACGTGCCCATGCCCCCTCCTTCCCTCGCTCCCTCCTTTCCTCCACTCTTGCCCTCTTCTCTACAGAGCCTGAGGACATCCGCTTTAACTTATTGAACAAACAACTACTAAATAATGAAGCCGTGTCAGTGCATGTGTGTGCGTACATGTCTGACTAACAGTGTATAAATCACCCTCGCTGTGATTTCTCCTGATTTCTAAACAAACAGTTATACCAAAGTGGATTGGAGTGAAGCTCAACCCTCCAGACCTGCTCGTTTGATTTATTCCTGCAAGAGCCAAGCTTCCACTCGACTTAAGAGAAAAGCACCCTTACCCTTATCTTTCACAAATATTGTATTGCACAAAATCACTGCCTGCACTCCAGTTAGGTTTTTCATTTTTTTCGGGTGGGGGTTGGCGTGCTGTAAAATCTTGTTGTTGCCATAAAGGAGCTAAAAAGCAGACTAGCCATTCCCCTCCGGGTCATCTGGGAGTCGGGGCCTTGGGTCTCTCAGAGAAGGATTGAGGAGGGGGGGGATAAGTGCTGCCTCGCTCCTCATGGTGCTTTGCTATGTTTGCCTCTGCTGCCGCCTGGTGAAAAATGTCTCTTGGCCCCCTCCGGCCGATACCGGGAGGTGTTATCAGCCCCACCTAGCTTCCTCCACGGTAACTACCCCCCAGGCAGGGTATTATCTGTTTACGATAAGGGGATATTAATAACACTGTACTTCAGTTATGTGCCTGGGTGCCCGGCGGGTTGAGTTTGGAAGGAGGGAGGGGGAGTCAGGAGCACCTGATTCATTCTGTCAGGATGTTTCTCCAAGCTCAGGACAGGGTTAAAGTGAATAAGAGGGGAAGGAAAGGATGAAAGGAAGGAGTCATGTGGTAGTGCCAGTGATGGATAAAGTACCTAAAAGCCATACTTGAGTTATCATTCCAGTCGCTGACTTTGGTAGAAGTTTAAGTCAAGTCTTTAAGTATCTGATATGACTGTCACGCTTTCAGAATTTCATACGCTTTAAATGATCCTGGTAATAATCTAACATTATTGATACTTACTCCTGCACACTGTCTAAATTGCACAAATACATCGGCAAAATATCGGTTCTGCCTATATTCTCTACCATACTGTAGCTTAATGCCCTTTGTTCTCTCCTTCTCCAGTGTCTGTATGGCTGCTACGTCCACTCCTCCATCATCCCCACCTTCCACCGCAGGTGCTACTGGCTGCTCCAGGTAAGAAGCCCTCTTCTCTTCCTCTACAATTCACCACACTTTAGTTTCCCTCTAAAAACTCTCCCAGTCCATCCACAAGAGCTTGAATGACTTGCATGATATCAGTTTCCATTTAACTGAAGCATTTTACTTTGACAGCCAGCAGGCACACATCAACCTATTCCCCCATCCACCACCTCCCTCGCTCTTTCTCTCTCTCTTTCTTCTCTTTTCTCTCCACCAGCCTCCATTTCCCCTTATCTTTCCCTCATTCTCTCTCCTGATGGCATTGCCCATACACGGCGGCCAGCGCTATGCCGGTATCTCAGTCTGCTAAAAGCTTTGCCATCTCCCCTGTCTAACAGCAGCAGTGATGGGCAGTAAAGGCATGATGGAAGACGTTCCCCGTACAGTGCAGTGTGCTTACAGTGGGTCGTCAAGTCCGCCGGCTGAGAGTGGCTGTAAATAGTAGTCCTTTGATCACCCCCCCCCAATACGTCTCATCATTCTCGTTTAGCAAGGCAGCCATTATTGTTGGAAGGTGCCTGATACGTACCCCCATTCACACACAGGATTTTAAGAACAGATAAAGCACACACACACACACACACACACACACACACACACACACACACACACACACACACACACACACACAGAGAGCAGGAGAGAGAGAGCAGGAGAGTGTGGAGCTGCTGCTATTTCTGTCTGTCTGTCTGTCTGTCTGTCTGTCTCTCTGTCTCACTGTCTCTCTTTCTGTCTGTCTCTCTTTCTGTCTGTCTGTCTGTCTGTCTGTCTGTCTGTCTGTCTCACTGTCTCTCTTTCTGTCTGTCTGTCTGTCTGTCTCTGTCTCACTGTCTCTCTTTCTGTCTGTCTGTCTGTCTGTCTGTCTGTCTGTCTATCTGTCTATCTGTCTGTCTCACTGTCTCTCTTTCTCTCTTTCTGTCTGTCTGTCTGTCTGTCTGTCTGTCTCTCTGTCTCTCTTTCTCTCTTTCTGTCTGTCTATCTGTCTGTCTGTCTCTCTGTCTGTTTGTCTGTCTGTCTGTCAGTTTATCTGTCTGTCTGACTGTCTGTCTGTCTGTCTGTCTGTCTCTCTGTCTCACTCTCTCTCTTTCTCTCTTTCTGTCTGTCTGTCTCACTGTCTTACTCTCTCTCTCTTTCTGCCTGTCTGTCTCTCTGTCTGTTTGTCTGTTTGGCTCTCTGTCTCTCTGTCTCACTGTCTCACTGTCTGTCTCTCTGTCTCACTGTCTCTCTATCTGTCTGTCTGTCTGTCTGTCTGTCTGTCTGTCTCTTTCTCTCTTTCTGTCTGTCTGTCTGTCTGTCTGACTATTGTTCTGTCCGTCTTTCTATTTAGATAGCCCAATGCTCTACAGTTCTATCTATCCGTCCATTTTTCTGTTTGCATATTTATTGATCTATTCATCATTCTGGTATCTATAGCTGGGCTACAGTTTGATTAATTGAAATTAGGAGTGTCTTAGGAAACATCATTTTTTTACTTAATAGGACAGAGAATTAAAGGGAAAAACAAATGTATCTTTTTGATTTATTACTGTTATGAAAATGAGTTGTCACTGTTGTCCCTGTGATCATTCTGACACTGTTAGATAGTATTTCAGAAATATTAATGAGGTTGTACAAAGCCTCCTGTGCAACCAAATATTCTTACACTATGTATATAAACCAAAGTCTTTACCACACCTTCCCAGGTGACTCTCTTTGACGGTTAGTTGGAGGGAGAAATATGAAAGTGAGTTATTACTGGCACAGAAATCTTAGCTATTAACTCTTCAGACGCTTCACAAAATCCTGCTAACACTTACAAACAAAATATTTAATTCCTCATAGATTCACAAATTAAAGCCAATATAGCTTTAAAAGGAGGTGGAAAACAACACTGTATGACAGAACAGAGCTCGGTGTGTCTGCTCAGATAGGAGAGCAATGCTGTGTATCTTTCTTTCTACCTATCTATTATGTCATTTATCTATCTTTTATTCTTTTCACATTATGTATTGTTCCAGCCATAATACTTTGTACTGTTCTATCTATCATTTGGTCGATCATTTCATCAATCTATCTTTTGATCAATCAGTCTTTCTCTCTGTATATCCCCAGTTCTACGTGCAGTTCTTTTATATTTCTATAATAAGAAAATCTCTGAGGAGTACACTTTAGCTCTTTTGCCATTAGTTCAATTACTCTGAGTCGTTTTTTGTGAAGACACAAATTGTAGAGTCACAACATCCCTCCTGCACTGAATAGACCCAGAAGACAAATTCATTTGTAGTCTAAGCAGCCCCCCTGACTCTGTCTGTTAGCAAGAGAAGAGAGCAGAGTGGTTAGGAAAAGACAAAAGAGAGAAACTGGCCACAACAATGCTTAAATACTAATCAAAATAATTAGTGTTCCCACGGCAAACAAAAGCTTTCAAACAGCAACTATTTGTTTCTGTCCCTCTCTCTCTCTCTCTCTCTCTCTCTCTCTCTCTCTGTGTGTGTCTGTTGGCTCGATGTGTGGCAGTAATAGCAACACTAGCAGACAAAAAGCATCTTTCCCTTCTGCTCTGAGTTCAATAAGCAAAGCCTCTCTGGTTATTTTCACTTAAGTATATTTTACAAATGATTAGAGGTACAGTGTATTATTAGAAAGCATAAGTAATGAAAAGCTAGGAATAACAAAAAAATAATGGTATATAGGAAACATCTCTCTGACTCTGGAAATAACACCAGACGCTGTGGTTTATGTTCAGACTCGGGGAATGATCAGAGGAAGCGCTTGTATTTTTGTCGAGGCTGCATATTATCTTTAATCTGCTTCCATTTGCAAGCTGTCAGGGAAATCTTGTGTTGAGTTTCTGGAGTCATTTTGTGCTGGTATTAGGAACTCCTTTTTAAAGGATAGGTTCCCTTTTTTTACGTCTGTCTTCATATAATACTGACATTTCTATATGTGATGTATGTTACTGGCTGCTGTAATTATTCCTATTGTCTACACTGGAGCGTCATATACGTATAGTAATACAAGAAGTGCAATTTGATTCTTTGAATTTGGATGATACCTACTTAGGGTGACTAATTCAGAACTCTGAATCTTCTATAAATGTCAGATGGACTTCAAAATGCATTTTAAATCCCTCCTGAACCTGGGCATGAAATAGAACTCAACTCATGTAATCATTATTGCAGAGCTCCTTTCACACAAACATGCAACCCAGAATGCTTCACATAGAAACGAAAACAGGCCGATTGTAAGACCATAATTTGAAAATAGTTAATACAGTTTTTCAGGACTAAACCATTGCAAAGTGAAAACAATAAAATGATGCACATTAATGAATTAGAGCAACAACAATAAAGTTAATAAAAGACCAAATAAACAACAGGAATAACAAAATCATGGTAAAAATTATTATTACTGAGTTGAACTACTGAGTTTAAAATTACCAAGAGAGTTAGGGTGCCTGTGGCCTTGTGGTTGGTGAGCCACCCCATGTGCAGAGGCTTTTGTCCCCCGTGTGGGCTGACCGGGTTCGGGTCCGCAGGTGGCTCCTTTCCCACATGCAGTTCCTCACTCTCTCTCCCTGATTTCCAGCTCTGTCCACTTTCCTACAAATGAGGCATTTCTCTACAAATGAGGCATTGAACCCCCCCCCCCAAAAAAAAAAAAGAGAGCTTTCCATTTTTGATAGGATGTATGAGGAACATAGTAAAAAGAAAATTGGTGGATTACCTTAGAAATCTGTCTGGAACTTCAAAAGAAAGAAGATCATTGATGTATGGAGGAGAAAGGTCATTTAAAGCTTCATAAAAAATATGTAAAATGTAAAAATGTATTTATTCTCCAAGGAGTTTTGGTGGATTTCATGCTAATGTTGAGAATTATTTAATATCAGACATGTGCAAATATTCAGAAACATGTATACACGCTGGAGAAAAAGAGAATAAGACAAACAGCTGGAGTCGAGGGGTCACAGCACATTTAAAAACTACTGCCCTCGTTTTCACTCCCTCTCCCTGCCAGTTTTAGGATTCGCACACGTAAACACTCATCAAACTTTGAGGAGTTCACTGACTCAACTTTAGCATTACTGCAGAGCATCAGCGAAGAGCAACCTGGCCCTCAAGTCTCCTTCTCTTTCACTGCTCAGCAGATCCCTGTATATGACTCACACTGCCCTGATGTGCAGCTAACTCATCCCTTATTCAAAAAAAAGGAAAAAAAATAGAAAAGTACCTTCTGCTGCCCAACAAAAAAACATTTATTTACAAGTATTTTCTCTGGCACTGAGCATGCCTGGAACTCCAGATTTACATCCCTTTTCAGGCAGTTTATTGCAGACCATCTGTGCGGAAGGAAAACCACAATCAAGATGACACCCGAGGTGAAAGATTACACCAGATTCAGTCCATATCTCTGCGGTCTGCAAATGCAAATAGACCTTCAGAACCTCTGTTTATTCAAGACGTTTTCCATCAGACATGTAACAGTCATCATGGGTTGCAACAGTCGTTCTCTTTTTCTCCATCTTCTCTCCACTCTCTGAACCGTCTATCCATGCCTCCCTGTGTACCATTTGCGGTGTCCATATGAGATTTGCAAGCAGTATTCTGTCAACAGCAGAGCAGCAAGGAGACTGGAGCTCCCAGAGCGGCAACAGGGAAAGGTCACCAGTGAGTGAAAAATGTAAATATTCAGCCATCCAGCGGCTACAGTCACGGAGAGACAGGGATGAAAATAACTCCTATTACACAGCACCGACAGGGAGGGAACACAGAGGACAGAGAGGGGAGAGACGGGCTGTGAATGAGAGAGCAGGGAGATGGACACAACTTTTTAGAAAGTTAGCCTTAAAAAAAAAAAACACTGAAGGGAGAGCGAGGGAGAGCAATAGATTTGAAGATTTGAAGCCGCAGTAGAGGTAGAAAGGGGACAGTGTGTATATGCGTGTGTGTTTTTGTGTGTGACACAGCAAGAAAGACTGACGGAGTGAGGCAGGGAAAAGGTATTTTAGGGAGGGG